TAATATTACTTTCAAGTAAATAAAAGAGCTTTAAAGAATGCTGGAACTGGTACTCTAGCATGACTCAGCTGGCAGAAGTTAAGTATGAGCTTTGGTTATTTGAACTAGCAAACAAATATGGGAGTTTTTAAGGCCATTAAGGAAACAGGTATTTCATATATTCAAAGTCATGCTTTAAAACCAGATTAAATGTAGAACCTTACCTGAGGCTGTCTAAATTAGCTGTTTGGTTTTAGCAAAACACAACTGATACAGTAAGTTAATCTGACAGTTTCTAGTTTTGTATACATTTAACATATAAATTTTTTATGAAAGTACTAGAGGCCCCGTGCACGAAGTTTGTGCACTCAGGGTGGGGGCGCCCTCTCACAGTCTGAGAGCCCTCGGGGGATGTCTGACTGACGGCTTAGGCCTGCTCCCCACGGGAAGCGGGCCTAAACTGTCAGTCGGACATCCTTAGTGCTTTTGCGGAGGCAAGAGAGACTCCAGCCACCGCTGCTATGCTCGCCAGCTGTGGGCCCGGCTTCTGAGCGGTGCTCCCCCTGTGGGAGCGCACTGACCACCAGGGGGCAGCTCCTGCGTTGAGCATCTGCCCCCTGGTGGTTAGTGCGTGTCATAACAACCAGTCATTTGCTATTCGGTCGATTTGCATATTAGCCTTTTATTATATAGGAGAAATATAAGGAAGTTATATCTAGTTTTATATTTGGATACATTTAATCAACATTATAATACAACTATTCTAAGTCAATATTGGGGCTTTGAGAGAATTGTTTTTTCCTTTAAATGATATGCCAGTCTAAGTGAAAAACACAAATTGCTTATAATACGAGACCTGGTGAATAGTAGTTAATAGGACATTAATGAGATGATTAAGGGGAAAGCTACCATACAAAATGAAGTGGAGTGACCCCAAGAATTGAGAGACAGAAGTGCTATAAATACCTGTAGTCCTAGATTCATGTCTTTCAGCAGTGAGCTATCCCACAGTGCCTCTTTCTGAATGAAAAGAATAAACTAGGTCCCTTCACAGGCAGGTCCTGGGGGCCTCTCAGAGTGAAAAAGGAATTTCTATAGACACACATCTGTAAGGTATGGGTAGATTACATCTTCTTTTGCTTAAAGAATAAGTGTTGCCGCAGGGCACATGGAATTGAACCCTACCCCCTCCAATTGCTTTCATATTCTAAGCTTAGAGAAAGAAGCAGCAGTAACATTTAGGTCACCAAAGGCTTCCTGCCACAGCCCTGGAATTTGCTTCCCCTTGCCCCGAGACATATACACTCATTACTCCTTGCCAAGATTTCGGCAGGAGTAAAATTATAATGTCCTTTTACAAATTAGAGTTTCTTATGGAAATACTGGCATGGCTTTGAACTGACACAGATTTTCCCATTATAGGACGCACAAATTGCTTAGTTCAGCATGATTTTTAAAAATTCATCCAAAGAACATCTGACATCAATTATACTGTAGTCTTAAATATATATGTGTAAAGAAAGAAATTGTATCCTTCTGCTTTTATTTACATGATTAAAAGAGACAGTTTTTTAAAGTGCTTTTTAAGAAGCCTACTTTCTCTCCTTTTGCTAACCATAATCACCAGGTATCCTATTTTTAGCATACTAGGTTTTGCAGGTAGGAAAACAGGTATCTTTTCTACAGTTACTTACCAAGCCGGTGAAAGAATACAGAATGAGCGCAGATATGGAAACCATTCAGACTTTTTCAGAGAGTAAAGTGCTGCTTTTGATTGTGGAACATAATGAGTCTGCAGTGACCTTCTGTGATGATAAAATACTTTCAAAATAATTTGGATCATCAAGCCTTCACTTTTGTTTTCTCAATTATCTCCTATCTTGACTAGATAACCCCTAAATGAAGCAGTTTGTAAAAGGCAGGCGGGAGGAAAGAAAATAGAAGACCCCTTTGTTTTCTCTCTGAAGCCTGCAGATGCCTGATTTGATGATGCCAACCTACCTGTGTGTGTGCAGTACATGCAAACCGCCTGTGGTAGCCATAGTCACAGGATGTGTCCTCCAGACAGAAACTTGCTTTGTGGCCTTCAGCCACTCTCCTCTGGGTGTTGGCATCCAGCAGGTCATAGTGGCTGAATTCATCCATGCTGTGGTAATGTCTAGTGTGCCCCACAACACAGAGACAGTGGACAGTGGTCAGTGGCAGAGAGAGAAAAAGCAGTGAGAACTTCAGATGACTTCCCGCTGTCCCACCCGTCTGTCTGCACATTAAAATTAAGATAATGTTTATCTTTTTAAAGCCAGATTCATGCATTATCTCCCCTCACCCCCCCACCCCGCCTCCATCCAGGGTCAGAAGTCTATAAAAACTAAGTTTTCAACTGTGCTACTTGGAAGAAAAAGACATATTTTGAGTGTTTTGCTTTTCTATTATACCCTGTTTTATCTTTGAATATTAAATAGAAATAGACAGTAAATTTCTGTGTTTAAGTGAAACTTGCCATGTGTTTTCTAGTATATTTCCCTTGGCTGCTATACTGATCTTTCATTCCAAAAAGAAGAGCACATGACCCTTGGGAGGTTTCTGTGAGATTTTAGAAATTTGAGTTCCCATAGATTTAAAATCATTACTGAAATGCAAAAGAGAAAATGGTATGTTTTATCCACCATTATTGTTTTAACGAGTATAAACTTTTATTTGGAAATGAATAATTCTATTTTATCAGCACATTAGGTGCTCATATCTATTGTTATCATTTCATGAAAGAGAACATGCTGAGTTATTCATCTGCTCCCATTAGGAAGAGAACAAAAGGAAATGGTTCAAACTGAAGAAAGTTTAAGGGCACATATCAGGATTTTCTGGCAATAAACACCTGAGCAATTTATCTAGGCTAATTACAGAATAACCTAATGTGGAAATCTTTAAATTTAGGACAGAACAGGCAAAGTTGTATTGATACAGGTCTTTTGAAAGATGGAGATAGGTCTTCTCAGCTCATGGAGTATATCATATACACCTTTCTTTGAGAAAGGTATCTGAACCCTTTTAATAACAACTTGTGGTCTTTATTAAATGCTGTTAAATGCTAACTACAGATGATCTTGGCTGCAATGGGCTTTTTAATAAATCTACTTGAAATATATTGAAGTAAAATTCTAGTGAATCCAATCACTGGACCCTATCAACAGTTTTAATAAACTGGACTTAGAGTTTCTAATTTAAAAGATAACGGGATCTAATAATTGATGCATTCTTTTAAAGACAGATTCCATTGATTATGTCAGACTATATAGAGAAAAATTCTAAATGTGAAAGACAGCACATTTCTCCCTTTGTGTAAAAATCATTTGAAAAATACAAAACCAACTCAAAAGTACCCAGGAGGCCCATCCACTTACTGGTGACAGCTGTGCCATTCCCAGGAATATCTTGGTCGGCTTGGTAAGAAATCTGATGTCCCTTGATTTTTCACTCTTTGGGGAAATCTTAGCAGCACCCTGTGATCATAATCTCTGACATCTGCTCTATATGCTGAGCTGTCATTTAAAAAAAAGAAACATTATTATTTTCACAGACTATTAACTAAAGAGAAAATTACAAGCAAAACCTTTTCAGTATATAATGGTGACTCTCCCACTCCTCCAACTAGACTATGGGTTCAAGAGTCAGGGCATTTTGCTTATTATTGTGGAATCTCCAGATCTTAGAAGAGTGCCTGGCAAGTAGTCAGAGCTCTGTGAATATATGTTGAATGGGTGAGTGAATGACAACTATGGAAATCCTCAGTATAAATATAAAAACAATAAAATTAGTATTATAGTCTTGCTGGCGTGGCTCAGTGGTTGAGCATCAACCTATGAACCAGGAGGTCACAGTTTGATTCCTGGTCAGGGCACATGCCAGGGTTTTGGGCTCGATCCCCAGTAGGGGGCATGCAGGGGGCAGCCAATCAATGATTCTCTCTCATCATTGATGTTTCTATCTCTCCCTCTCCCTTCTTCTCTCTGAAATCAATGATTTAAAAAATATTTTAAAATAACAGGTGATAAGTAAACTTTATATTTATAATCAAGTTTAACCATATGAATGAGTGAAACTGAGGTGGAAATTATCCCAGATTAAAAAAAAAATCATATTTACCTGTTAAGAACTTTGAATTTAACAATACATATCTTGAACAAATAACTATGATGTAAAGTGGGGAAATCACTCTAAAAAGTACACAAATAATTTTAGACAAATAATTTTGTAATTTCACTGTCTTCAAAACAACAGCATTACTGTAATAGTATAGGGAGCGCAATGGTGTTAGTGATGCAAGACTCAAGAATGAAAATGATGAGCTTGGATTTTCTTCTCTTCCTTTAGCCTGAAAATTATAAAGGGTCACAGTGGAAGAAATATATGAATAAACATTACTGTGTTCCTTCTAATATACTATTTTGTGTGAATATGCATTCAAATACTACTGATGACTAATGACCTTATTTTACAGTGTAAAAATTTCTGAGACCTATCAAAACGTCCTCTAGCTCCCTCCGCTGGTTTCCCAGCTGCAACTTCAGAGAAATCTATTACTATGATTTTATTTTAGGACTGATGGAAAAACAAAGTTCTTGTTCATAGTCTTATTCTGGCTGTAGTGACACCCAAATAGCTAAGTTAATTATGGCTTCAAACAAAAGGAGAAAACTTAACCTTTGCCAATAAGGGGTTCCTTGGTGGCAAATTAGCCCCCCGTCTTTTAAGGGTATATTAACAAGCTCTTTGATTACAATATTTTCCATGTTATTGTACAGCTAGTTGTTTAATAAAAAGTTATTGGAAACAGTTGGCTTCAAAGTTGAAGGATCTTGGAAAACAGACAGAGCCCCCCCCTACCCCCCCCCCCCCCCACACACACACACACATACACACAAACACACTTGGGAGAAGGATTTGCTCCATCTCCTTGATTTGTGCTGCAGTTTGAAAGACAGAACCTACAGAAATCTTAAAATTTTTCTCTCTCCATCCAGGTCACCGTGCCCAGGAGTTCAAGTCCTACTTCCCAGCTCTTGTACCACTTCCCAACTCTTGTCTGTTAGGAACAAGAGTAGTCAGAACCAGGGACCTGATGAGCCCCTGGAGCCAAGAGGGGAGCCAGGCCGCTGATATCCCAGCTCGTACCTGGCCAAGCAGTTTTCCTCCGCAGCGCATCTCAGGTTGTACATGGACATCTTTTGCACGTAAGTGGACGCCTGGATGTAGTAGGGATCTGGCACCAGGTCCGGGAGACCTAAACGTCAGCAGGTGATGGGCATAGTGAGACAACCCTGCGCCCCCTGCCCTGGCCACTGGTCCCTCCGTGTCCCTTAACTCCTCAACCTCTACCCAGCCGGACTGCTGTTTTAGTGTGGGGCTGCGGGTAGCAGGAGAATGGGGGATGCCTGGGGCTGCAGAGCAATGTGGAAAGGAAGCAGGAGGGGCCAGGCGCGCGGTTTGCACCAGATTCCAGGGCTGCCTCTGCAGGCGCAGGGGGAGGGGTCGGATCTGCGGGGGCTCGGGCCTGCCGCGCCCTGGCAGCCACGTCGGGGAGCCACCAGCCACGTTGGGGAAGGGGTGCCCGGGTGGCTCCTGAGACTTGGGGCGCTTACCGTACTGGAAGTAGCCGGTGCCATAGCCCGGTCGGTACCTGCTCCCAGGCCGGGGCCTTTCATACGTGTCGTAGTAGTTGTAATAGGGGTTGTCGTCGGAGTACTTGTAAGGGTTGTATGGGTCGTCTCCCACCATGCCGTCCACGCGGCTAGGCACCCTCAAGTTACTGAGTGCCGGGCGCTCTGCGGACGTGGTCCGGTTACTCGCGCGCGCGGGGCCAGCGTCGCGGGTCCCGGACGACGAGTAGCCAGCCTGGAACCAGTGGCGGGCGGCGGGCCTGGGGCGGCCGCCGGCGGCACCCGACGGGGCAGCGGTCCGCGCCCGAGTCGCCGCCGTGCGGTTGTTGCGGAGCAGCAGGATCGGCGTGCGCGGCTGCTGGGCGGCAGCGTTGGCGGAGCCCGGGGCGGTGGCGCTCGGGTCCCGTCGGCGCTGCGGCTGGTACTGCGAGCCCAGGCTCAGCAGGCTGAACACCTGCCCGTTGTTCTCCCACTGGATCTTCTGGCTCCAGGCGCCCGGAGCCGCCGGGGGATCGCGAGGGGGCTGCTGCTGGCCGGCGGCCGGCGGGGCGCAGCGCAGGACCGTGCAGAGCTGCAGCGGCCCCAGCAGGAGCGCGGTCCAGGCGAAGCGCATCTCTCCCCTTCTCCGATTGCCCCCACTCCGGGAGGACGTAGCTCAGAGAAAAGGAAAATTGGACAGAAATCACGTGAGGGAGGGAGAACTCTTCCACCAGGAAGGCAGCGGAGCGCGGGTCTCGTAGTCCCCAGCAAGCAGTGCCAAGGTTGGGCTGCAGACCCTTCTCCAGTCCAGGCGGCTGCTGGGACGTGGCACCCGCCTCTGCTCTTTCCCAGTGCTCTGGAAGGCGATGGGGAGCGGCGCGGCGGCCCGGCGAGCCGGCAGTGTCTGGAGTGAAGGAAGGAGGAGAGATTTTAAACTTTCTGGCACGTTTGCAAAGTTACACAAGCCGTTCTGGCCTGGCCACCCCTCCGCTATTTGTTCACGTAATGCGATTGGAAACGTGCAAGGGGACAGCTCCTCGCCTCTGCCCCTCCCGCGCCTCCCCGTCCCGTCCTCCTCCCCCCCTCCCCCTCCCCAGACACGTTGCACAGGGAACGTTAAGGGGAAAGAACCAAACGGAACACACATCCTGAGACACACTCGGTTTAATCTGGGGCGAACATGCAGGAATTTCAAAAGACTCAGACAGACGAAGGCAGCCAGGCCATGGGGCGAAGCCAAAATATGCATGAAGAAAAATGCTATTAGGTCACCAGCCCTGGAGAGGCGGGAAGTCAGGAGGTGGGGAGGGTGCTAGGGGCGAGAGTTGGGGGTTGGAGGTGGAACGATTGTGACTAACATTTATCCTTAAGGAGTTACCCAGACACATTTTCCAATGCATACTCACTCACTTTTATGGGAAGTGCCCTCAGCAAATAAACCCCAGGATATCAAATTTTGTTTTTTGTGTGTTGGTAACATGAGAAATGGGTTACAAATTTGTTTCCTACAGTGAATACTTTAATAACTAAAAGTGAAATTTTGCAGGGAACAAAAGCCAGTAACACTGAAATCTGCCTCTTTTTCAGAATGCTGGCCTGATCTGTACTTTGAATGGAAGTAAAGAACCATCTTTCACCTCAACAGTGTCTACCAGGAAGTTTCATTGAGCAGGGGCTGGGGTGAGACTGCCTGAGAGCGCACTCAGGACAAATAAGCATTTTATCTGACTTTTTTCCCCCTCTCTCTTTTACATCTAATAATTAGGTTTCACTTTGGATTTTAAAAATATAAGTCACCATTTGTTAAGTATCGAAAAGTCCTATGATGTTTGATTGATTTTCCAATTTAAACAAAAATGTTGCTAAAGAAACAGCTGGGATTCGGATTTTGGTAAAGAGAAGGGTGTAGGAGTGGCCAGAGGAGAATGGGCAGGAGGATAGGGTGGGAGGTTGGAAAGAGATACTTAATGGACCAGATATTCACATACCACACAGGTTTTGGGCAGTGCTGGAGACATTTCAAAGGAAAATTGCTGCTAAACAGCTTGACTTAAAACTATGACTCAACACCAGATTTTAATAACCTTTTGTTGGTGTCATCCTTGACCTGTTGTCTGAGCTAGTGTCATCCTTGAGCTGAATACTTCAATATTCAGCTATCTCTGTTAGTCTCTGTCACTCCACGTGTTTTTTTAAAATATATTTTTAGTTATTTCAGGAAGAAAGGGAGAGGGAAAGAGAGATAGAAACATCAATGATGAGAGAGAATCATCCATCAGCTGCCTCCTGCACGCCCACTTTGGGGATCGAGCCTGCAACCCGGGCATGTGCCGTGACCAGGAATCGAACCCTGACCTTCTGGTTCATAGGTCGATGCTCATCCACTGAGCCACGCCAGCCAGGCTCTGTCTCTCCACATTGGTGATGTTGTGGACATCTGCTAATTGGACTGCTCAGCATCCATTTCCCTTTTGTTGTTGTTGTTGTTGTTCTGAACAACTATTTTCCGTTGGGAAACTTCCTCTACCCATTGAATTGTGGCACTAACTGAGCATTCATGAGACTTCCCCCGCTTCAGGTAGTGGTCATGATATCCAAGCTTGGCTCATCACACTGTCTCCCTAGAATTTGACTCTTAAGCAGAAAGACACAGAGGTCAACAATGTTGGGGTCCACTCTCCCCACTACTGAAGAAAGTGTCTGTGGGGTTTGCTACACAGATTCCCCCTGAGCTGTGTTACACCAATATCTTTGAACACCTGGTCCTTCCATTTTTTTTCCCAATGTGTTCCTTTGTTCAGAGTCAATATCTGTTATTTGCCACCTAAAGAACCCTGACTGACACTGAGGGAATTGTGGCTGCTTCTCTCAACTACTCCGGTCACACAATTTTGAGTCCAAGGTGATAGGTTTGGCTCTTTTTGAGTCCAGTTGGATTTGCTCTGCCCATGACCCCATAGTGTCTTTGGTCACAAAGAGGTGTCAGATGGAAGCTTGCCAGTGGATTGGCAAACCTATTGCTTATATGATGAAGATAAAACTTAAAGTGCAAATCCCACTGATGACAGGTCAATGGTGTCATTTCTTTCTGCGAAGGTCAGAGACATCTCCAGCTGTCATTTTATGGACTTGATGCTGTGGTTAAAATTAAACTAGTCAATTTCTCCAAACCCACAAAGAGAAGATAGAGTAAAAAGAAGCAGGTGTATATAATTTGAATGGACAGGCCAAATTATAGGAGTAGCAGGAAGGGAGAGTGTATAATTACCTCTCATCTGAAAAAGATTCTGCGTGCACCCATGAAGTGTATTCCCCAGAAGAGAGAAGCCTGTAACTGCTAGTGCTTGACCACATGTTCCCGAGGGAAGACCTCTGCTGTGGAGGTCACTGTCAGAGCGGCCGACCACAGCAGCTCCTAATGGAGGGAGAAAGTTTATGCTGGATCTCAGATAAAATAGCCTTGTTTCCAATCCTGGTGCTCACACAAAAAAGCTGTGTATCTTTGGACAGTTGATTTACTTTCCCTGGCTCTCAGTTATCTGTAGAAATCAAGAATTATCCAAATCTTTTCTAAAGTAGTTTTTCTAGTTTTAAAATCTCTGATTTTTGTGAATGTCTAAGTACTTGCAACTACTTTCAATTCATTCACTATAGTGTTTCATTATGATTATTAATATTTAATTGAATAACTACTTCAGTTGGACTTTAAAACATTGGATGTATTTTATGTATGAGCTAGAGTTTGCAGACTGTGATTTTCCTTTTTTACTTATTTCCCATCAGTGAAATTCAATATCCATTTATTTCCTTGACAAATACTTTGAACGCATTTATGCTCTGAAGTGTAGTATACCATAATGGTAATTGGCACACATGAGCACTCAATGAATATCAATGAGTTCATGCATTCTCAGAATTTATAGCTGAATGAGGTTCACCAATTTTTGAATTTGCTCCAACAGTTTAAAAATGTCTTTACTCTTATCAAAGTATAAGTAACTAATGAGAACAGTAATGGTGTGCAATATTTATTTTCTTTTAAACGCATTACTTTATGGGGGGAAACGCATTACCCTTTGTGACACATCCTAAAGAGATGCTTAATTGTTTTCTCTCTCTTCCACTTTCTCTAAACTCTGGCTTAAGACTCAGCCAGCTGAAAACAAACATGTGGCTACCACATTGGGGACAATTGAAAGTGTTTGTGAGTCCTATGGGAGATAGTCTAGACACATATTGTACTCTCTGTTTAATGACAAAACAATTATTCACAATATTGGAGAAACCACAATTCCTTCTACTCAGCACTGAAATAATAATAATGGTAACTGCAGCTATATCAAGATACCTTCAGTTTTGGTAAGATCCGCAAATGTTTTCACTTTGATATTGAGACTTTCTTTTTGTGGACAATTTTGCAGCGTATACCATAAGAAGAAGAGAGATGGAATGATGTCACTTTTTTAAAAAAAAATGTTTTTATTGATTTTTAGAAAGAGAGGAAGGGAGGCAGACAGAG